TCTCTCTCTCTCTCTCTCTCTCTCTCTCTCTCTCTCTCTCTCTCTCTCACACACACACACACACACACACACACACACACACACACACAGTGTCTTTATACTTCTGCAAGTATTTTTTGAGTATGTGTGCGCGCGCGGGGGGGGAATGGTGTGTCCGTGTGCTCGTCTCCTTTGAACTCTTGGTCCTTCGCTTCATGCCCCTCTCCCTCCCGTTCTTAAACTCCCTTGGATCCGTGCTCTGGCGACTGTTCCCTGATCTGGGCAGTGTGGCATTGTGACCCCCCCCTCCCCTATCGAAAAGAAAGAAAAAGGGGAAAGAAACTTGTGATACCGTTTACTGTGAATATAAAGCCGTAATCTGGGGGCAAACAAAACACCTCCACCTCCTTCGCAACAGCTGCTCGCTCGTCGCCGAAGAGGGAATCCTTCCCGTCCGGTCGCTTTGCACAGCTGAGTCCAAGGCACGACCTCGATTCCGAGTTTGTGTCCGGTCCTGAGAAGCCACCCATAACCAGTGCCAGCGAAGGTCCGACAAGGAGACCATCCGCACCAAACTGTTGACCACCGCGGGCATAGTCGAAGATGGCCGCCCCACTACTGCCAACCTTGGGCAATGTGATGACGTCATCATCCAAGTTTTGAGAACCTTCGGGCCAATAGAACAGGAACGCATCGAACGAGTCGTAGATGTCGTCTGTATCTATAATATGATCTGGATGTTTATACCATACAAAATATGTTTAGAACAAGTATTGTAAATAGACTCAAATTGTTAGCCCTCTGGATTGAAGCCTCGAACGAGGGATCAGTCTTCCGTCTGCACCTCAACAACGGACGGACCACAGAAATTGCAACGAGCATGGAACTGTGCAGCTCCGGAGTCCGAACCCATCTGAGCTGGCTTTTTAGCAACACTTCAGCTCCCTTCCTGGAAATCAGGACAACTCCATAAATACACATGATGACGCAGGAAAAGTTTAAACATGTGATCAATGCCATTCACTTCTGTTCCAGCCCGGTTCTTTTCCTTGGCTTCTTTCGCATTCTTCTTTCTCCTCCCTCCTCCTTTTTTCTCCTCTTCTTCGTTTCGTCCTCCTCCTTATTCTTGTTCTTCTCCTCCATTTTTTCTCTTCATTTCTTCTTCGTTCTTGTTGTTGTTCTTCTTCTTCTGCCGCTGCTTCCTCTTCTTCAGCAGCTCACAGATTCTTCCTACATCTCTGTAGAAGTCCGGAAAGCCGAGGGTCTTGAAGCAACCAGCTGCTCAAGACGATGGCGCTCATCGGTTGAGCACATACAGGCTGTCGGTTCATCCATATGATTTTAGCTTGACGAGTAATTGTCTTTGTCTCCTTAACAACCAGCTTTAGTATACGCTAGCCTTTCACTGGTGACTGCTTTTCTCTTTTTCCCGGAAACCTAAACTATACCCTTTCATTGTACAGTATATCCACGTGAAAATCTGGAGGCAGATAAAAATTTTGACTTATTTGTTTCCTTCCTCTTCTGTACGCTTTCTCTAGCCAATCTTAGCGCTTCTTAGAAGTTTTACCTCGTCTTTCCCTATTATTCTCCGTTCTTCCCCCCCCCCTCTAGTCATCTTCTAACCATGCTCAAAAGTGCAGGGATGCATCCTTTCTTCTTTGGCCGCCAATTCTTTCCTTCGCCATGCATCCATGCATGCGTAAATAATGCATCCATGCATCCACCCATGAATGCATGCATGCCTGAATAATGCAACCATGCGTCCATCCATCCATGCATGGATGCATGCCTGAATAATGCACCCATGCATCCATCCATCCATCCATGCATGCATGCGTGCATACTTTGTTCATCCATCTATCCACGTATTGGGTCACCTGCGAGACAGGTGTTGCTGAGCAGAGATGGAGGGAACAGCGGGACGACGTCGTCATGGTAGTGAGCGGCATTCTGACACGTGTCCTCGGATGAGTCGGAGGAGCGCTTTCTGCTGGTGAAGCTGTCAATTCGTTGAGCCCTGAAGACTGATGAAGGGTTTTCTCCCGGGAAGTTCTTCGTCCGAGGAAGAAAGTCGCCTCTTTTACGGCGTCTGACAAAGTACGACAAGCTCCCCGTAGACGTGACGTGATACATGCTCAGTCGAGCGATATATATGGAGCCAAGGATCCGCAAAGTGATGAAAAGGACTCGAATGGACAATGCAGCGTCAGCAAAGCATCAACAAGCAATGTGCATCCAGATACATACGAAAATAGCATAATGTAGCGCAACGGAAGACTCTATGACCTGACCTGTCAGATACTGACGCGACACCCCATCATACACCACACATGTGAGAGAGAGGGGAGGGACCGCATACAGGTCCCTCCTTGAGCACGCACATGGGGAGATACCACGGATGAGGAGATGGGGGAGAGGTGAGACGAAGATGGAGGTGACGGAGAAGACCAAGATCGGGATAGCGAAGTCCAAAAATAGTCTCCCTGCCGAATGTCCAATCAATGTCTGCCACAAAATGTCGAATCAGATCCTTGGCCTCATGGCCCGATGTAACCTCTGCCTGTAACCTCTCTCTCGCTCTGGAAGAAGAAGAAGAAGAAGAAGAAGAAGAAGAAGAAGAAGAAGAAGAAGGAGGAGGAGGAAGGAGGAAGAGGAGATGAAGGGCGAGACGAAGAAGAAAAAGAAGATGTCGTCCTCCTCGCTGTCTCACCTGCAGGTAACTGCCGCCGTGTACTAACTGTCGCCGGCGTGTCTCACTGTGCAGGTCGCTGGCGTGGAGTCCAGCTATGGCGCCCAGGTAAGTACCGCCTCAGCAGGTATGGCCTCCGACTCACCTCCTATCTACTCCTCTACACCTAGCGCAGCAGCGCTGTGTCGCGCTGCTCCAGCAGCATGTTGCCCAAGAAGTGAGCTACTGGAACTGTGCGTCTGCCCTGGCCTGGCCCAGCTAAAAGTAGCGCTGGGCCTTGCGGCCCTTGCAGGTGTGCCTCTGTGTGTCTCTGGTCCTACTAGGCCTAAAACGGCCTGCCTGGGTCCCTACCAGACGTCCGGGCCCTCCCTGCTGATGCAGCAGGGAGTGTCCGCTATCGGACAAAAGTGGACCTGGCCCAACAGGGCCTGCCTACGTCCGCATCAGGCCAAAAACGCGGCCTTGTCCGAACAGACCAAAACTCTGTTTGGACGAACTGCAAGTCCAAAAGGACCCCTGAACAGACAAAAAGAGGACAGCAAATAAATAAATAAATAAATAAATGCTGCCTCAAATCGAATCCTGCGTCCCTAAGGCCGGCCGTGGGCCTCCAGGGCGCATGTTCGAAGGGCGTGCGGGACCCCCACAACCGCCGGGCCCCCGAAATGGGGCCCGTGTGCAGGCTCAGCATGTAACATGATGCTTTCACACGGGTGGCCGAAGGAGCAACGACGACCTGTCGCTCTCTCACTAGGTGCGAGCCCTGAGGTGACTTCTTGCTCCTGATGTGCTTTCCGGACAGCCACCCGCGTAACAAGCGGTCGGTGACATCGAGAGAACCTCTCCTCCACCGTGGTAAACGTCCAGCGGCTAGGAAAGCCTAGGATTGGTAACGCTGGTGTGGCCCTCCACATGTGACTTCCGCCACCTCCCGGTTGCTACCACCTTTCTCTGATGATGCCAACGACACTCCACAAACCGATACAGGGATTGGTTGTGCTAACTGCACCACTGGCGGTGCGACAGCCGTCGATCAAGCAACAAGCCTTGCAGATCCGTTGATGTCTGCTCACTCGAACACATAACGGCAGTTCGTACCAGGTCACCGTTTCGGACCCTGGCCACAGTTCCGCAGACAATCGCAGACTCGGGCGCCGTCACCAGGTCGGCTGCCATGGTGGTCGTATTTGTTCGACTTTGTCTTCTCGCCTATTTTGAATTCTTTCAATCCCTATAAACGAGGAGGGAAGAGCGGAGCCAATGCCACATGACCACAAACGTAGATTTAAATCCTCAGAGCTAACTGCCTCAAAAAAAGAGGGAGAAGCTCCTGCTGAATGTCAGAAAGCCGGCCAGCCTGTCCAACCAGCGAACGCAATCCTTCAAGGAAAGTCTCCCGATGAACTTGAACTCGATGTGAGACATTCTCCCACACTCATTCTGGAAACGGTTTGATGTTCATCAGGCTATACTCGCACAATGTTTTCCACTGAATGTGGCCTTGATGTCGGTCAGATACGCCAAGCAGAGTCCTTGTGTGAGTCCGTCCTCAGTCTCATCCCCAGCCTATGACTGCCGGATGGCAAGATCAGACCAACCAACCTTGGACACGACCCAAACCCACAGCCTGCGGCTCCATGAACCACAAACGTGACTGGGTCCTTGATCCATGGGGAAAGTGATTGCCTCTCACCCCTAGCCCACCACTGCTGCCAGTCATGGCTTCTGTCTCCTACAACCTTCGACAGTAGAGCTCTTCTACTTGGGTGTGGATCTGCTCCGTCGACTTGTACTGTGATAATATGAGCAGGGCTGCCGCATAGGTTGGAGCTCCATAGCTCGTTGAGCCCAGCCTTGTACCATATAATTGGACCGTATTCTGCAGCAAGAGAGATGTCCTCAAGTGTGTCTTCTGGTTTTGATGCTGCCCCGCCTGAGCTCCTGATTACGATACAGTCACCTGATTCTGGTGCCAAATTGTTGTTAGGTTGGCAATCTGAGAAGGGCAGATGGGGGGGAAAGGGGTCCGGCGGTCCGCTAACGCCGGAGGGGGAATGGCGGGCACAGAGAGAGAGAGAGAGAGAGAGAGAGAGAGAGAGAGAGAGAGAGAGGGGGGGGGGGAGGGGGGGGGGGGGGGGGGGGGGGGGGGGGGGGGGGGGGCAGGGGCGGGGGCGCCTGCAGGGAGGAAGGGAGAAGGTCTTACAGGTAGTGATTGCAAAGAGAATCACACTTGGAAGGTCGGAGCTTGTTTTCCAGGTACAGTCGTTTCATAGATTAATCGTGGAAGAAATTCTCGATAAGGGTCCTCAGCCCGCTTCTTCAGCAGGAATTTGATCCCATCCTGAACCTGAGCCTTAGCTTGGATGTATAGTTCATCTGTTGCCTTTTTGTCTGATAGTACACCTGCTTCATACATGCCTGCAGCACAGGAAGGACTTCAAGTCACAAGACAATCTGGTACTCGAAGGAAACAAAAATGGAAAAAGGAAAAAAGAGAGAGAAAGAGAACGAACGAAACACACAAAAAGAGAACAAAAAACAAGGATTCTGAAACAGAAGTGTTCGCTTTCTCTCAGAGTACCCTACATAAACGAAACAAACCCCAAAATTTCAGTCACAGAACGAACCATCCATCCATACATGTAGCTGAACATGATCTGAGATAAACTCCGCTGCACTTCAGCTGCATGTCTAACGTCCCACGCACTGGAACTATGATCCTACTGGAATGGCTTCCATGTCATTCCGTCTCGCTGTCTGTCTGTCTGTCGACCTGTTTGTTTTTCTGTCTTTCAACTTTTTCTGTTTTTACCTGTGTTTTTTCTTTGTTTGCCTGTTTTTCTCTGTCTGTCTGTCTGTCTGCTCCTCTGCCTCCCTGTCTGCCTGTCTGTCTTTCTGCCTCTCTCCACCTGTCTGTCTGTTCTTCCATTCATTTGTCCGTCTGTTCATCCGTCGTCTGTGTGTCCATCTGTTCATCTCCCCGTCCGTTCACCCGTATGTTCATCTCTGCAGTTGCCTGTCTGCCACTCTCCCTCCCCATTTGGGCCTCACTTCCCCTCTCTCTGTTCCCCTCATCTCTCGTTCTCCCTCTCCCTTGGTCTTCAGTCACATTCAATGGACCAACCTGCAGTCAGAGCCCAAACTGGAAAGCAACTGGCAATGGGATCCTCAGTACTGCGAATGCATTTACGCCAAGCTACCCACATAAGATATGCTTACCTATACTTCGAAAAAAGTGATATGCACATGATTCCATGCGAAGAGAGTGGGAGATATATATCTGTTTGTGACGATACGTGGCGAGCCTTGCACGTGAGAGGCACAGTGGAGGTGGAGTTCAAAGAAGAATGAGAAATTTAATGGTTTCAATCTGCCCTTGTTTTTTCTTTTTGTTTTTATTTTT